TGGAACCTATCACATTACATTAAGTACATCATTAGATTTGTAAAAGCAATCTTGCAGTCACTGTTTTGATTCAGAGGCTTTTGTATCATAAGCTACACTAAGTACAGAAATAATTGGTATGAAAGATATACACTTTTTTTTTTTTGAGACAAAGTTTTGCTCTACTGCCCAGGCTGGAGTGCTGGAGTGCAGTGGCATGATCTCTGCTCACTGCAACCTCCACCTCCTGGGCTCAAGCAAGATACTCGCGTTTTAATAGAATGTGTATTTGAATCAAAGTGCCTTGAAGTTTTTCCAGCTTCATATGTAGAAGGAAACTTTTCAAGGTTTAGTTCCGATATCTCAGTGCTGATTTGTGCCACTCAAAATGAATAAAACATGGACTCTTGGTTTGAGTATAAATGTCAAACCAGTCTGGGTAGTTTGTGTTGTGACAAAGCATATTATTAATGCAACTGTTACCACATACAGTGGATTAAGACTGGATTAAAACCTGGATTCCACTTCAGAAAAGGCAAATCTATTATTCATTCATTCATTCACTCATCTTTTTTTTTCCCCTGGAGGTATCCAGGCCACATTTTTAATGAACCAGGTTTCCTGTTGATGCCAGAGCATAAGGCAGATTCTCTTTTTGTTTTGTACTTTTTATGAGATAAAACACGAATTCCTGACAAGACATATTATTTCCATAAACAACATTCCTTTCTTTTTCATCTTTTTTGGTTTCTGCGGGGTTTGAAATGCTCATGAGTGGGATAGTATTTCCTCCCTGAAAAGGCTTGGATAACATCAGAGATAATTTTTTTTTTCTATACGTTGGTTAGCAACAGAGCATTATCTCATTAAGAAGAAAGTCTGTGAATTTATTTTTATTTTTTGGAGACAGAGTCTCGCTCTGTCACCCAGGCTGGAGTGTAGTAGCGCAATCTCGGTTCACTGCAAGCTCAGCCTCCTGGGTTCATGCCATTCTCCTGCCTCAGCCTCCCAAGTAACTGGGACTACAGACACTCGCCGCCACGCCCAGCTAATTTTTTTTTTTGTATTTTTAGTAGAGACGGGGTTTCACCGTGTTGGCCAGGATGGTCTCAATCTCCTGACCTTATGATCCGCCTGTCTTGGCCTCCCAAAGTGCTGGGATTACAGGCATGAGCCACCGCGCCCAGCAAGTCTGTGAATATTTTTATTGGCAGGTGAGATTTTCATCCCTATTTCAAGGACATTCATATTCCAATGGCTATCTAGTAAGTTGGGATAAATCCATCTATCCATCCATCCGTTTTTAAAAATCGTTTTTTCTTTCATCCAACTATCCATCCAACAAGTGCCTACCATATACTTTTTAGGTACCAGGCACTGTGCTCAATTGTGTGTATTTACTGTTATGTAAATACAAAACTACTTCAGTCCTTGTTCTAAAGGAATTTTCAGTCTAGCAGGGGAGACAAGTATTCAAAGCAATGATTACAATATGGTAAGATACATGCCATTATGCAGGTATTATACCTGCATATCTATAATACCTTCTATAGAAGCTAATGCATAGGCATCCCGATTACTTACTGATTAGTATGATGATACCTTGCCAGGCCTTCAGGTTTTAGATGAGCTAGAGTCTAGCTCTAGACTGCCTAGGTTTAAATCCTATCCCTGATACTTGGTAATTGTGTGGCCATGGACAAGTTAGGTGATCAGTCTGTACCTCAATTTCATCATCTGTGAAGTGGAGATAATAATTATACCTGTTGCATAAGGCTGATACCAAGATAAAACTAGGTAATACATGTAAAGCACTGGAATTAGTAATATTTAGCAGTATTTACATACACTATGTAAATGTTAATTATAATTATCATCCCTACTTTTCAAAATGAACTTATCCATTAAAGAGTAGTCTCCCAAGATGATCTGCTGGGAGCAGTAAAAAAATAGTAGAAATACCAGAAAATGAATTCCTATTTAATTTTCATATTCTTTTTCAATCTCCATTTTTGTGTATCTTATATGTATATATATGTGCATCTCATTAATATATATGTATATTAGCATACATATGTAGTTTATTAATGAATAAACCCATATGTAGACATTGGGGTAAATGTTATTCTATTTTTTTTCTACTGTTAGGGCCCTCAACCAAAAACTTAAAGATTATTTAAATAAATATGTGCATTAAATAAATATGTGATACCCTATCCACAGACAGGACTTGCAATTTATAGTTTATAAAGCACCTTTATGTATATTATCCCAAGTCCAAGAAGACACTGAGCATATTATCAACTATATACTTTTCATCTGCTTCTGATTCTTACCACATCTAAATGGACAGAGCTGAATGGTGAGGCTACAGGCATACTAGAGTCAATGACTTGAGCAGTCAATGCTTCCTTCTTCCCTGATGAGGCACTTGATAGGTTTTGCAGGGCCTCAGATAAGTTGGCTCTTATTTTGCTAGCATGTATTTTCATCATACTCACCCAGCTGCAGCTTGGCAATGACACATGAAATATAAATCTATTGAAATATAAGCTGAACATATCATTGGCCAACATTTTCTCCAGTGTGATAGTTGATAAATGGTCTTTTTTGGTGTTTACTTTTCAACATCCTATGAGACAAGCATACAAAAACGTTTACCGTAGAGTGCAATCTGGTCTCTCCTGTCTGCATGATTCATTTTCAGATTTTCTTGTGTAAATGAAGCTGAAGATGCTAACAAAACAACAGCTGCTTAGCTATAAATTAGTAAAACAAGTTTCTCATCCAAGATTATTATTGAAGGGTTTTATTTAAAGCAATTTACAAATTCATGAAGGATTTTACTTAACACATTTACACTTGAAGCCATTTAGAGAGGGCCTGGGGATTAGATGGGAGCTGCCTCCTTTCCTCTTGCTGAGAATTTGGAGATTAATTTATCTAAACAAAAAGGAAAGCCACATTTGCTAGAAATTCCATAAGCTCACTACATATTTAATTGGGGTTCCATAAGAATCTGCTCATTAAAAAGCAAAGAATATAAGCGCAAAAGAGGGTTATCATCAACCTCTCATTGATTAGAAAAATAACGCAGACAAGATAGGGATAATTAGTGGGAACTTTAGGCACACAAATTATTAGCTTTTAGAATTCTATTCTCAACTTAAAAAAAAAAAAAAAACTATTTCTATTCCTTTTCCTTTTACCAAAGCTTGTTTTTCTAAATTGAATTATTTTGTCCTTTGCTTTTGTTTTGTATTTCTTCATTTTTAAGGAACAAAAATCCAAAGGAATTGTCTTAACATAGAATCTGCTCTGCAAGGAGAGCTGACTCAGCCCTGCTGTGGGCAGGTCATTATCTACTTTTTCCTCAGTTTCCCCATCCTTAGATGTTCCCCATCCAAGGATAATCTCACCTACCTCATCAGCTTGTTTCACTAACATTAGCTAATGAATTTACACAGAAGCTTTCTAAAGATGGACTGTACTGATTACCATTACTTATGGTATACTTATTTACATAATTTGGGACATTGAATTTCTTAATGAGAATAAATGAACCTCAAGTTTAGAGAAACTAAACTTTTGTTTTTTTTTTTTCAGACGGAGTCTCACTCTGTCGCCTAGGCGGGAGTGCAGTAGCGCAATCTCAGCTCACTGCAGCCTCTGCCTCTGGGGCTCAAGCGTTTCTCCTGTCTCAGCCTCCTGAGTAGCAGGGATTACTGGTGCACACCACCACACCTGGCTAATTTTTGTATTTTTAGCAGAGACGGGGTTTCACCATGTTGGTCAGGCTGGTCTTGAACTCCTGACCTCGTGATCTGCCCACCTTGGCCTCTCAAAGTGGAGAAACTAAACTTTTATTGTATGTGTCAATGTGATTTGGTCTTTTAAGAAAAGCAAATATTATAAAATGCAGGTTAATTTGTTAATGAAGGATGCCTTACTCTGTATGTTTAATTGACAGATTATTCCTACACTATATATATAATATGCTCATAATAATTTGTTAAGTGTTAGGAAACATGAAGAAGACTATATTGGCTTCTTATGTCTGTTATTTTTTGAAGATCTTGATTTGTACTCTCCGAAAAGAAAACAAAAGAATGATGGGAGCATGAATCCCAAATATTGCTTTTCTTATGTGGGTACTTCCCACATAAGAATCTGGTATTTTCAGATTTAGTGAATTTCATCCTTTTAACCTGAAGGAGTTTTTTGTTGTCGTTGTTGCTGTTTGTTTGTTTCTGTTTAAAAAAATTTCAGAGCCACAAACACACTAGGTATAGCATATTATCAGTGAATCAAAATACACTTATTGGGCATCTTCTATGTACTAGTTATGGTATAAATAATGTGGATGAGTGATTTTCAAAGCGGTCTCAGAACCAGCATTATCAGCATCACCTGGAAACTTGCTAGAGTGGTAAATTCTTGGACCTCATTCAAGACCTACTGAATCAGAAACTCTGGGAATGGGGCCTAGCAATCTATGTCTTAACAAATGCTCTAGGTGATTCTGATGTTAGCTAAAGTCTAAGAACACAAAGGTGAGTTAAATGGAGTGTTTGTAGCTTGCAAACTGTGCATACCTGTCCTTGTTTCCAGCATTTGGACCGACACAGTCTGTCAGAGCATGTCTTCCATATAAGTGCATCTATTCACTAATTATGTACTTGTGTTTTCAAGGTTGCGTTTGAGAAACACAATCTGTATTATCACTTCTTGCACCTTCACTCTGTAAGCAGGAGTAGGTATTGAAGTTGTTCTGGGAGTGGGAGTTTCTCTCATCTGAATTTAATTTCTCTTGAATGCATGATCAGCCCCAAGCTCTGGGGGTTAGAATAGGGACTACACCTGGCCAGATGGATATTTAAAGACAGTGAAGGTGAAGCCCGGCTTCTAAGAGCAGGTACGATGGAGGGTGGTGGTGGGAGAAGTGGCAGCTCCTGGCTCATTCCTGGGCTCTTGGCTCTGGGTCTTTGGTGCATGTGTTTGAGCTCGGTAGAGACATTTGACTGTCGCAACCCAATGCTGCCTTCCCACATAAATGAGATCTTTTCTGCCAGGCAACATGGTTTTACCCTCACATTCAAAAGTAAGTATCTGGAGCTCTGGTCTTTGCCAGGGAAGGAGTGATCCAAAAGCTGCCTGGCAGCATTTTGTGGGACTGGTTGGGGAATAGGGTGTAAATGACAACAGATATTTAGGGCTCTTGTGAGTAGAGCAAGGAGCTGGGGACAGAATACTCCTCAGCTGGTCTAGCAGAAGAGGAATCTGCTTCCTGGTTTCAGCTCTGCAGGCCTGGTACGTAGGATGTCTTTAAGCTTTATGGCTGATGCCCTAAAGTTCTCTGTGTAAGGATGCTCCAAAGTGTGAAGTACACAGCTGGTGGGCTGGGCAACTACAGTGTTTTAGGACATACAACAGGGCAAGTGGCTTGTCTTAGGTCATGGTGACTGGAATGGTTTTCAGTACTAGGGCAGTCATTCTGACTTAATTCTAGGGGTAGGCTGATGGGAGTTGAGAAACCTCAGCCCATTCCTGGCTGCTGTGGACTAAGCACTGGCTTTGACAAGCTGAGACTGCTAAATCTTTGTCCTATCCTGCAAGGCTGGGTAGTGGGGAGTAAGAAGCTGAAAGGGAGGTGGGACTTTCCATGATAGCGGCCTCCTGGAGCTTCCCCTCTTCTTTCCCTACAGGCTCACAGTTCCTACATAGCTACTGGCTCCTCTGTTTTGAGGCAGTTCCCTTCTTGGGGGTTTCCTTGATAAACCTATGGGCTTGGGTGCCCATTGTCCCCCATGCCACTGAGCTTGTTCTAGAGTTCGAGGACCATCAAAGGGGCCTCCAAAGATTCCTGTTGGGATCTTTCCCCATTATCTTTTCATCCTACCAGTCAGAGGGAGGGTCATTATTGGAGATCTACTGTTTACTCACATATTGGATGGAGGTGGTGCCCACCCTCTTGGCAGAGACAAAGATTCCAGCCACTGATGTCGCTGATGCCAGCCTGAACAAGTGTTCCAGCATCGAAAGGAAACGAGATGTAGTGTTGCTGTTCGTGACCTCGTCCCACACACAGCCATCTCTGTTTCACCTGCCTTACATCCAGAAACCCTTTATCCCTAATGTGGAGCAGCTGATCCTGGGGACCCCATGCCAGAATCACTGGGAGATAGGCAATGGCCAGAATACGTTTCCTGTAGAGAAGCTCTGCCATCTGCAGGATCGCAAGGTGAACCTTCACAGAGCTGCCTGGGGCGAGTGTATTGTTGCACCCAAGACTCTTAGCTTCCCTTACTGCCAGGGGACCTGCCTGGCCCTCAACAGTGAGCTCCGTCATTCCAGCTTTGAGTGCTATAAGGTAAAACATGGAACCTTGTTCTTTCTCTTCTGGGGTCATATTGGGAAAGCACTAAGTGCTCAACTCTCTAGGCCTGGCTCCTTTTGAGTCAAGGAAGCCACCGAAGTTGGCAATTATGTAATCTAGCACTGATGCAGTGTGTAGCATCTTTCCCGCACTGTGACCTTATCCCTTATCTTTGCATAAGAAACAACAGCTTCCTAAAGATTGTTCTGAAACAGCCCTGATCCAGCAGCTTCTCCCCAGGCCCTCCTCCTCCCCCCTTCCCATCTATCCCTGACAAGTCTACCGATGCCCTTAGGTATGAGGCTGTGGCTATGAGGCACTCACCATTCTGCCATTTGTTTCTGCAGAGGGGAGTACCTACCTGTCCCTGGCTCTTCCAGACCTGCCATCCCACCAGGGTCAGACTCTTCTCCCTGATGGTCCAGGATGACGAACACAAGATGAGTGTGCACTATGTGAACACTTCCTTGGTGGAGAAGTGTGGCTGCTCTTGAGATACCCCAAAGCCTTCTACTGGCCTTAGGGCCATCTAAGTCTCAGGACTCGAGTAGGGGGTGGGATTAGTTTTCGTAGCAACTAGAGCTCTTTGAAGGGAGGTGGGATTTGGTTTGTTTCTCAAAGCACAGCAAGAAGGATGGCATTATGGCAGTAACCCCTCTTAGATGCTTCTCTTTGATGTGGGCAGGGGACCCCTAGTGCTGTTCTCAGTCACTCCTACTACTGGGAAGCTGGGCCCATTGTGATGTCTGACTGTTGCTGTCCTAGATTGTGACTGGGCTGGGCTTAGTGCCACCTCTGGGGTCATTTAGGTGGGGAAAGAGGAACTGGAATTGGACGCATGTCAGCTCTTGGGGTAGGGGTAAAATTGTTACCGGTGTTAAGCTGGCTTCGGACTCTTCTGAGCTTTTCAGCTGCTATCATCCTTCTCTGTACAATTGGCATGGGGCTGGTCCAGAACTGACCTCAGCATGTACGTTCCTCCTCACCTAACACTCCTGGCCTCTTTAGAGTGAGCAAGGACTCTGTGCAAGAAAGCATTCTGTCATGGGCTAGTCGTGGGTAAAGGGCCCCGAAGCCTTCACAACCTGGTGTCAGATGGGAGCTTGAGAGTGCAGGTTGTCACTTGACTGATGGAGGGGGCCTCTGGCCTCATGGAAAGTTTGTCTCACTATCATTTAAGGAACTTGATGATATTAGCTTTTCTACTATCTTTAATAAAACTACAGTACCATTGTTGTGGGTCTCTTATGTTGGATATCTATTACTTAATGCCCTTGAGCCTCTGAATCAGAATGAGTAGATAGATGTTGAGTTTCAAATCCTATTGTCAAGGATCACAGGAAAGAAGCAACGCAATGCACTTTGAAACCAATATTCAGTCATAGCACTCACTCAGTGACTTCTAGTTTTAGGTTCTAAAACGTAGGTCCAAACTAAGATACAAGGAAGTACTCCAACGCGGACATTAATACCAAAACTACTTGTTAGATTTCTTGAGGCAGAAGAGAAACTGAAAGTTAGATGACACTCAGAACCTTAGTAACATATTATCTGTCCTAGTGGGAGGAAGAGCATATCAGTTAAATTTACAATTTTAAAATGCGACTTTCTCAGTGGACATTCATAGTTCACGTTAGCCTGCGCCTTGCCGAGCATGCCTGTAGAATGATGGTCAGGGTGAGGGCTGAGCCTAAAGGAGGCAGAGAGCCATCCCTGGCTCTAGACTTTCCCAAGCTCGGTCTTGGCTGTGTAGTAGGTTTCATGAAATAAGGATGAACTAACTTCTGTCTTTTTAGATTCCTTTCTTTATATCTCTGCAACGGAAGTTCTGACCAATCTATGCAAGTGGTTTGTGCTTTTAAGTTTAATAGCAAAGTATGCAACGTGAGAAGCTGACTTTGCAGCCCCAATCCTAAACAAAGGTAGTGACTGTCAGGTGTGACATGTTCCCTGCCAGTCTGCTTTCTTTGTATATGAACATAGCCTTAAAACAATCCTATAGCTCCTTAACAAGGTGTTGTGGAGACATTTCAAAATCCTAACACCTTTTTTTCCCATGGACGTTAGCTTGTATTTAATAGTTCTATACCCATTCAACTGATTCCCTTACTGATGGACATTCAAAGAGGGCATTTTAAAGTTACCCATTATTACAGTGCTGTGATCATCTTTGAATATAGATTCTTATATGCAAGTAGAATTGCTAAGAAAATGCCAGAGATGAAATTTGGTCTCCCCCAAAACTATGGCAGTTTACATTTCCCTCAACTGTGAGACCATTTTCCCCACACAGGGCAAGTCCTTTTGATAAGGGATACATTTCATTGTTAAGTTACATCTTTAAAAACGAAAATTTGAACATATCAAATTAGCCAGTTGAATTCTTTGAATTTATCAAGGATCAAGCATTTTTTGTCTTATAGAAACTCTTAATATAACAAAATATAGCAAATATATTTAAGTTTCTTTTCTACATGGTGGTATTATATGGATAAGTCAATCACTGACTTGATTGGTTCTAGGTTTCATATTTGGTCATCCCCACAAAAAGATAATACACATTCTGCCTCTTGTAGTTCTCGTGTTCATGGTCTTATTTATACATTAATACTTCTGGGCAGGGAGAGCTGGAGGCTCCCAGGCCATTTGTGTCTAGGCCTGACAGTGCCAATCTCTGGCCAGTCAGATGTAAGTGGGAGTCTGCAGGGTTTCCAGGACGGCTTCTGCTTCGGAGTTGAGGGCCTGGTTTGCAGTAATAAAGTACTACATTACTGGGGGCAATGCAACAAAGATGACAAAGCTGGAAAGAGTTCCTTAGGGCAGGAATTGGCAAGTTTTTTCTGTAAAGGGCCAGATAGTAAATATCTTGGGCTTTGTAGGCCATACAACCTCTGTCTACTCGACTCTGGTGTTGAAGCATAGAAATGGCCATTGAGGAAATATAAACGAGCATCTTTGTATTCCAATAAAACTTTATTCATGGGCCTTAACATTTAAACTTAATGTAACTTGTCACAAAATATTCTTCTTCCCAACCATTTAAAATAGGTAAAGACCATTCTTCATTTTTGAGTTGTACAAAAGTGCAGTGATTGGCCCATGGGCTGTAGACTGTCAAACCCACCTTAGAATATCATTGAGCAGGTGGGCCAATACTAGCAGAGACTTCTAATTTATGAGAAATTGTATCTCTATTTAATTAGACCACTGTTAGTTTGGTTTTTTGGTTACTTGCAGTCAAATACATTCTTATCTGATAGTCTTTTTTTTTTTTTTTTTTTTTAAATAGCCCACTATTCTAACCTTTTATTGACTATTTGAACTTCCCCCTACCTTGATTTGGGCACTATTTTTTAGATCACATGTTAAATTTCCTTAAGCCTAATAAGTTTTTTTCTAACATTCTATTCTAATCCACTAATCTTTGTTCATTTTCATAGCTATATTAATTCCTATAGTTTTAATGGATACTTAGGATTCTGAGAGAATGTGTACCATATACTGAATCATTTTTCTCATGGAAGATGTCTGAATGTCTATATCTTCCCACCCATGAACATGATATAACTTTACATTTAATGGAGAAAAAGATCTGAATGAGTTCTCTCATTTTTATTTCATTTAAGCCATGGCAATTTCTACTCGGATTATTTCTTGGTGATCTAGGTTACTGTTAGTGTAAATGGAACTGCTAACTAGAATTACTTTTATGGCATCAGTCCATATTACTCTTCCCATTCTGTAATGAAACCATGTAGATTCAGAGCATTGTTTTTTTGTCCAACATGGAAGACCAACTCAGAGTTTAGTGCTTTCTACCATTGTACTTAGTCTTTGGAATGTGCTACTGGGTAGTTTTTTTGTTCTGTGTTTGAATTAGGTGTTATTAAATACTAGTGAGTCCTTAGACTTGACATCATCTAGAACAGTAAAATGGTATTATGTACAACTATTGGAAAGTGGATTGAACCTGGTTGCTGATACCGATCTAAGTGGTTTGGATTTGTATATATTCTAAGCATCATGTTTTATGTCAGTGGGAACCCAGAATAGAGGCTCAAAATAAATTTAATCTGCATGTGCAGACAACTTCTAAAAGATAAAGAAATAGAGGTAGCAAGTGACAAGACCTGGGCAAGGGAAGAATGCCAGCGCCTCATCTTCAGACTTACATTCCAACAAGAAGGGACTCATGATGACATGCATTTTGAGGAGGCATGCTTTGTGCTTTGGTACCAGTTCTCAAAGGGGCTGAGGTCTGAGAGACAAACAGCCATCAAACCAGGTAGAAAGAGGGTACAGGTTGAATGAAGCAGCACCCACAATGGCCTAGGGAGGAAAGAGTAGGAGAGGGGTGTTCAGCTAAGAAGAGAAAGCTCAATAGAGCTGGTGTGTGGGGTTTGTGGTGGGAGGAGTTGAGTGGGTAGGCAGTTTTACTCTTCTGGGCAGAGTCCAGAGCGTCATGTGAATCCAAATACATAATTGCTTTCCTTCATGAAAGAGATTGTATAAATCATGTATTAATGATCACTTCTTTTTGGTGACTTGAATGTATTAAGTAATGGGAATATCTACTAAAGCTGAATACATACATACCCTATGCTCTAGCAATTTCATTTCTAGCCACATATTTTACCAAAAGATATAGCAGCACTACAGGTAAAAACCCCAAATTGAAAACTATCCAAATGCCCATCACCAGTAGAATACATTAATTGTGGCATACTCACACAGGAGAGTACTATTTAATGAGGAGGAATAAAGTAGAACTCTGTAAATGAACTGATAAATCCCACAGGCACGTTGAGGGAAAGAAGCTAGATACAGGGGAAAACATAGCTGTATGATTCTACTTATGTAGAGAACAAACATGGGCAAAAGTGGGATGAGGCCGGGCGCAGTGGCTCAAGCCTGTAATCCCAGCACTTTGGGAGGCCGAGATGGGTGGATCACGAGGTCAGGAGATCGAGACCATCGTGGCTAACACGGTGAAACCTCATCTCTACTAAAAATAAAAAAAAACTAGCCAGGTGAGGTGGCGGGCGCCTGTAGTCCCAGCTACTCGGGAGGCTGAGGCAGGAGAATGGCATAAACCTGGGAGGCAGAGCTTGCAGTGAGCTGAGATCCGGCCACTGCATTCTAGCCTGGGCGACAGAGCAAGACTCTGTCTCAAACACACACACACACACACACACACACACAAAAGTGGAATGAACACTTCAATTCCATTTATATTAAAGAATCCAGAGTGGTAAGATTCATAAAGACAAAGTAAAATAGTGGTTGCCAGGAGCTAGAGGGAGAGAGGAATAGGGAGATATTGCTGAATGGGTATTGAGTCTCAGTTATGTGAGATGAAAAGAGTTTTGGAGACGGATGCTGGTGATGGTTGCACAACAGTGGGACTGCACTTAGTACTCTACTGAACTGTACACTTAAAAATGGTTAAGATGGGCTGGGCGCAGTGGCTCATGCCTGTAATCCTAGCACTCTGGGAGGCCAAGGCGGGTGGATCACGAGGTCAAGAGATGGAGACCATCCTGGCTGGCATGGTGAAACCCCGTCTCTACAAAAAATACAAAAATTAGCTGGGCGTGGTGGCGTGCACCTGTAGTCCCAGCTACTCAGGAGGCTGAGGCAGGAGAATCGCTTGAACCCAGGAGGCGGAGGT